CCCCCCCCCCGTCCCCTCCCCTCCCCTCCACTCCCCTCCCCTCGCCAGCACTACTAGCATTCTGGACACACCGTCACACCATAAGGTGAATAAGGTGAAGTCATGCGCGTAGCAGTCACAGCAGTACGGCCATGAGGTTGCGCAATACAGCACGAACCCTGCACAATGAGGTTGCGCAATGCGGCTTCGATGCCGCGCGTGCGCGCCCGGCAGTCTGACACAGCGCGTACTGCGTTCACAGACCAGATTGAATATGGCTCGACACCAACGAGCATCGATGCAAGACAGCCTCTCTGCAAAGCCCTGTGGACAAACCTCTCGCTTCGCGGAGCACCATTCGACTCAGCCTTATACCCTAGCGTGGCGACATCTTACCGCATCGTGGAGCACCACTACACAGCTATTTACGCACCCTTCCCATCAGCCACCCGCCATAGCGTGACGTGCATCCCTGGCAGTACCGGCCGCCCCCTCTAGCACTAAGGGGTTGGTCACTGCCGCTTCGACGCAACGCGTGCAGGCCTGTGCCCTGACACAGTCCGTGCAGCTGTGTGACCATAGCTGGTACACATGCGAGCGTTTACGCATTGCGGCTTTTACGCGCGCCTGTTTTCACACACCTTTACTACGCAAACGAGCGTCGACGCAACGCAGCCTCTCTGCAGAGCCGTGTGGCGCAATCTGACCGCAACGGTGTTCCTCTTGAGCCTTCTTGTGCCCTCTGGCTTTGTTGGTTTTACCCATGATTGACCAAGGGGAGCGTTCCTGAAACACCGGAGGCAGTCCCTCACCAGAAAAGGTCCCGACAGCTACCCAATCCGTCTCTACCTTTCGTGTTTCCCCGCTCGAGTACACCTTGGAGAATTATACAACCCTTGGGCTGAGAAAAGAAAAGGCCCCCAACTCTCGTGCCCAGATCATCATGCCCTTTTGCAATATGGTATTCTTCTACAACTGTTGCGGAGCTATCGAATTATTTCGCAACAACCGTGGGGCAACTTAAGACGCCCGTGCTTCTTATTATCCCTAGGGGTGGACAAGACACTCTACACTGGATAAACCGATAAACAACATTCGAAAGTATTGAATATTGCCGTACTCCAGTCCACAACTCGCAGTCGCAATGAGGGTGGCATTGAGGCCTATCATTGCATACCATTACTATTATTATTTTAGCATTCATTTTGATGGAGGTTCTAAGTGTGATGCTGCACGAAGGTTCAGACTTTAGCTACCATGTCATATTTGGTGTGATCTCCACATTTGTATATACATAGCAAGCTTTTGGGGGCTTGCGCAGGAGGATGAAGGCATCTTAGGGCTTCAATTTCAGTTCATTATTTTTTGGCTTTCGTATTGAAGCAAGTTCTAAGTATTGTGCTGCTCCAAGGCCACATTAGATTGAAAGAATCTCAACAGCTATCAGCGTTTTATAACGGTTCATCATCTAGCAGGTTCTAAGTGTGCGATTTCCAAAAGGTTCTATGTGTTTATTCATCACTGGTTCTATATGTCTACTGTAGTTGTTCACAGGTCCTAAGTAAATACACGTATTTTTTCAAAATAGGGTTCCAAGTTCTAAGTATTCGTCGGGTGAACAGCAAGTCATTTGCTGAGTTGATTCAGGACAATGGTGTAGAACGATTACGATGGCTAGTTAAATATCCGACAGATTGAGAAAACAAAAAGCAGTGCTTGGACACTTTTGCCCGCTGGGGATGTGTGGCTGGGTGCAAAGCCGGCGTCCTGGACTGCAGCTCCTGGACTAACTTGTTCATGAATAAAAAATGCAAGAGATGTTGATGTGACTACCATGAATACATGTGCCGTATACAGAGCGTGACAAGAGCTTGCTTGTTTCATTGATGTGAGCAGTGCTTCTGGCAGGGAAGTTTTGTGAGACGCATGTTGGCATCGGCCACATGCATGAAGACCGTGTGTCGCATGAGCCATAACAGTGATCAGTGATCTCAAAGCACTTCTAAGCATGCTCCTTTGAGCCTTGGTTATAGGACCGGACTTTCATTCTGTCGTGACCGGTCTCGCTAATCTTGATCTCCTCCACTGCATTCATTTTTACTTTGCTTGAGGCCAATGCTGAAGTCATCATTCTGGACCACTTCACAGCCACATTGTGTGAAGTGTTCTTTGTCCCATCCCCACTTGAAGCGGTCTGCAAGTTGCGTCATCAGACCTTGCAGAACTCCAACACCAAAGCAAGTCGTCCGTCCATGTGCATGTATTGCACTTTTCAACCTGGCCCGTGTGGCCTCCCCATATCCGGCAACATGGTTCAACCACCAATTGACAGTACCCCGAACGCCTGCGCAATGTCGTCATTGCTTTCCAATGAGCAGCATGGAGCAAGCAACAAAATCCGGCAAGCGCCAAAGTTGTCACAGAGTGAGCCCGTTCATTGCTAGCTGCCAACTGTTTCTTTCATCCTCTTTCTTATCACAAATGTGTTAGTTGGACCCACGATGCTTTGCAACCCTCACAGTGGTTCAAAATTTTGACCCCAGACTCATAACTCTCTACAACCGGCTGCATCACCACAGCTGGACCACGCGCTGAAATGAGGGGCTCTGTTGGCCATTGGCCAAATTGCTTGTGGCGTCGGCCAAAAACAGAGTGGACCATGTCCACCTGCGGGGCCAAGGACAGAGTCAGAGCGGCTGAAGCAAATCATCACTGGTGGCAAGGCACAAAAGCAGAGTGCGGTGATGGGAGCGGGGCCAGAACCTCGAACCCTGGATGGGAAAGAGAGGGTGAGGGAGTGGTGTAAAAATCCCGTTGGCTTTATTTAGGGTTCGGCTCTGTTGGGTGGCAGCTTCGAAGAAAAACACTGGCAGGTTGCCCCAGCAAAGAAGGATGACATGCAGCTGAAGGCTCCCTCAGCTTTGCTTGATTTGTTTGCTTCCTTGGGCGAATGCGGGCAGTTTTGAGGTCAACCGGCTCAGCTCCTTTGTCACCCCCAGTGATGAGCTTTGAGCCAAAGAACGGGGCATAATGAAGACGCCAGTTTTGTACCTCGAAACACTGCCGCAGCTGCCGTGCAGTGTCCTGCCTCTAGATCGTCCTAGATTCTGCAGACGCAGGATGCAGAGGTCCAGATATCTCCAGGTCAGTAAGGCGATTATATATTTCAACGTGATTGATCTGATTGTTTCAACCATTTCAGTCGCTAGTGACGTGCGGACCTGGCAAGCTGGTCCCTGCAAAAGACCACCAGGATATCGTTGAAATGTCGTGCACCATGTGCAGAGGGCGCCAATGTCGTTTGAAGGAAACGCCAGGGACGGAGCGATAGGTGTCAGACATTCTTTGCTTCGACTGCCGCTGTGTAGCCCAAGTAGTAATCTTGCAGCTGTTATCCCATCATTATGGCGCGGTGGCTCAGCAATGCAGACAGTGTTTTACTAACAAAGAGGCTGAGCGGCCAAGCAGAGGAAGCTACCGCCCATTATACAAGCTAGTTTACAGACATTGGAAGCAGGCACAGCAAGTTTGAATGTGGGGGTTGAACATGGAGGTTTGCAGCTCAACGCTTTCGTTGACCCACCCCAGATGTCGAAATGTTGCCAGGCGAGTTTGCGTGATTGCGAGTTGGGTCAGCAGGGGGCCCTGGGCACACTTCCAGCTAGAGACGTTGGGCTCGTTTCTATTCGGGTGGTGCGTCAAAAGCGGACAGAGTGCTTTCTTATCAGCCTGTTCTTCAACTGCAGTCACATCATCCCAACAAGCCCACAAAGCTGTGAAGCTCAGCTTGCCACAAGCGTTCCTGATTTCTCTCGTCTTTGGCCCTGCTCTTCGAGGAAGAAGGAGGATGAGAGACCATCGACGGCGCCGTCCGGTTGTCAGAGCAGATGTGGAAAAGCATGGACGACCTCTACATACACTGTATAATACTGTATATATATATATATTATAGACATGTTGTTCACACGGGGCGTCGTCGATTCTCATTTCCCAGTCGTTACATGTTGTTGCAGGATTCTGAATTTCTCGGCAAGTCACACCGCTAATGTGAACTTGGTGCCTGCTCATAGCCGCCCCAAGTCTTTCAGCAGTTTTCAGAGCTGACTGAAAAATGATTGAGGCCGCGCTTGTCAGGGAACATTGCCCCGCCGACGACGCCCCCGCCCAGGCGGTGTGATGGAAACAAAGGACGTGTTCAAGCTTTCTTTTGTTCTGAGGACTCACAGCTGCCGGCGTTTGAAACGCCAAACATCAATCTTACGCCCAGGGAGGTTGCCATGCGGCCATCTACTGGCAGGTGGGGGAAATGAGACAGTTTTCTGGATGATTTGCCAGAGAGTATTTCCCTTGTGCATGGCATGAAGTTGGGATGTGAGGGAAAGGAGAAAGGCAACTGATCAGCCATTCGCTCCTACTGTCCTTCTCAGCTGCATTTCTGAAGGTCTTTTGTCTCCACCTCAGACGCCGCCACAGGCCTGGGACCGCTCTACAATTCCTGACAAAGAAATTTTTAGTCCATCAATGAGTGACAGTGAGAGACACAGCAGGCAACCAAGCACACAATGCACACAAGAATCCAACATTCAGAAGCAGTACTTGGTGGTGAAGGACAATGATTGATGCAAAACGATTGATGCAAAAGGAAGCGGTGGCCGTGATTCACTCGTAGACTAGACTCAAAAGTAAAACTGAGCCTCTTGGAGGCATACATGCTTGGTTGAGGGTGTATGCGCGGACAGTGAGACACTGAGCTTCCAGTTTTCCCATGGTGATCAATCAGAGGTGTATGGAGGAAAGGATCGACATGAAAATTTCTGCCGTTTTGCTTTTGCAGCAAAGCACCAATGATCTTTTTGTTCAGCGGCCATTTTGGCTTTCCAGGAAGGAAAAGATGATTCGCGCCTCTTCTGAGCGTGCGGTGAGGCATGGTGGCTCTCTACGAGCCACCCTGTCTTGTGCCTCCCTTGCCTCCAGCGGCCTTTTCACGGGGACGCTGATGTCGCGACGCAGCCGGTCTGCCTCACTTTCACCTACCCCGAAGTCCAAAAGCCATGGCAGGCAGGAGTTTCACAATCATGAGTTTCACAACCATGGTGTATGACATGCTTGAGTTGTCATTTTGTGTTGTACTATCAGGATGAGAGCCCTAGTTGACAAGAGGTGTCACAAGGCTGTTTTGTAATTGGACCATGTCATATGGGTGTGCATTGAAATAGGGAGAGTCCCCTAAAGCACCAAGACCCCCTACATGAAGGACAGCTAGACTAAAAACTCATTGGCTTGGCGGCTCCCTATTTTGAGACCGACCTGAATATAGTAGCATCCTTGCTCCTAGTAGTAAGGCCAGGAGCCCCTAGAAGCGTCCTTGCTCCTAGTAGCGATGCCAGGACCTTGCTCCTAGTAGTAAGGCCAGGAGCCCCTAGAAGCGTCCTTGCTCCTAGTAGCGATGCCAGCAGCCCCTAGTAGCGTCCTTGCTCCTAGTAGCGATGCCAGGAGCCCCTAGTAGCGTCCTTGCTCCTAGTAGTAAGGCCAGGAGCCCCTAGAAGCGTCCTTGCTCCTAGTAGCGATGCCAGGCGCCCCTAGTAGCGTCCTTGCTCCTAGTAGTAAGGCCAGGAGCCCCTAGAAGCGTCCTTGCTCCTAGTAGCGATGCGAGGAGCCCCTAGCAGCGTCCTTGCTCCTAGTAGCGATGCCAGGAGCCCCTAGTAGCGTCCTTGCTCCCAGTAGTAAGGCCAGGAGCCCCTAGAATCGTCCTTGCTCCTAGTAGCGATGCCAGGAGCCCCTAGTAGCGTCCTTGCTCCGAGTAGCGATGCCAGGAGCCCCTAGTAGCGTCCTTGCTCCTAGTAGCGATGCCAGGAGCCCCTAGTGGCGTCCTTGCTCCTATAAGTTAGGTTTGAGTTGTTGCACTTAGCCAATTCTCCCTGACAGGTCGTACTCGCCTCGTCGCTTTGCCTCACGCCACGTGCCCACGGCGGCTGAGGAGTTGGTGTCCCACAGCCATGTGTTGGATCCTACAATCATCAAGAGATTTGATGGGCTGATGAAGCATTTGAAACGCAATACTGACAAGCAGGACTTTGAGAAACAGGTGCTTGCTTCACCTTCAGAAGTTTTGGTACCTGAAGAGTATGATGAAGTGCTGCGCGGAGAGTTTGCACGCCATTGCAGCTACGGTGAACGATTGAACACTGAGCTCATGCACTCGGGCAAGTGGGTGAAGATGCTGAAAGAGCTGGGCTTCATACCTGGCAGAGCCAGGGCAGAGAGGAGCGCCAAAGGACCTTGTTTGTCTTCGCTTGCCGAAGCTGACATTATTTTCCAGCGCGTTCTTCATGACACGGACTATGGGGGTAAGCGCTTGACTTACGACTTCTTCTGCAAGGCTCTCTGTTTGGTGGCTGCCAACATCTACCCCGACATGGATTGGGAGACAGCCATGGGGGAGCTTCTGAATCGCATTGCCGCAGCTGCAGAGGAAGTTGAGGTTGAGCAGCCTGATGATTATGGGGACTACTCTCTGGATCCAAATGCACCTTCCTCCTTTTGCCTTGGCAATTTTTGCAATTTTTGTGCAGTGGCTTGTTTTCTTTTGAGGTTCGATGCTGCAGGACAGGTTTCACAGCCCTTTAGCGAACTCATGTTATATTTTGCTCATGCTATCGGGAGGTCTTGCTGGTCCTGGACTACTTCAAGCCCAAGCTGCATGACCTTTTCCGTTCCTTTGCACGGCGTCAACTGCGAGGACCTACCGATGCCGCAGTGGGCACTGGCACCACACGCCTGAAGGAACGCACCATTTGGAAGCACACACAGGACACTTTGTTTGCATCCAGGGCATCTTCCTGCATTTTGGGAGGCACGCTGAAGGACATGAAAGATGACATGGAATCAGAGGAGGAAGAGGAGGCCAATCCCACAGCAGGTTTGCCAGCAGTCACTGAGAGCGAGGCGGAGGGCCATACTACGCCCGAGGTTAATCAGGAAGTTGCCAAGAGTGCAGCTCCTGAAGAACCCGAATTGCTCCCAAACCAAGTTGTCACATCTCCGCAGAAGAAGGGTATGGCAGCTATGCTTCCCGCGGGCGCCGTGGGATCCAGTGGATTTGAGGCCGTGGCACGAGGATCCAAAGAAATGAAATCTCCACCTGGCCAGTCACTACTGGCTTGGGCTGAGAATTTGGGATATTTCAGCTCAGCGAGTCCCGGCAGCAGACTTAGCAAGCAATCAATGAGCACACGTACTGGCAAATGGAGTCCAGCGGCTCGTGACCCATACACCTATGCCTGCGGGAGCCCGATCATCCAGAATCGAAGGAAATGGATGTCACTGGAGCAGCTCTTTGCCATGTGCAAGGAGCTCAAGATCATGCCAGATGTCATCAGTCGCCAGGCAGTTGTAAGGATCTTCAAGAGGGCCCAGTGTGCTGGTGCTGCCAGTGCCCACGCCGGTAGCAACTTTGGCTACTTGTCCCAAGAAGGCTTTGTTGATGCTATGGGCCGAATTGGGATTCAAGCCTATGCAGAGCCTCCGTTCTGCGACGAATACCCAGAGCCTCATGAGAAGATTCACGCATTCCTTTGCGACAAACTTCCAGGCCAAATTCGAACAGTCCGGGACCGTTTCCTTTATGGATGTAGTGGCCGTGGGCCTACAGTACAGCCTGGTTACATCGGTCGCTGAAACACATTGGCCATCTGAGTGCTTAGAACCCTGAACCTGGGAATCCAGCCTGTCACTTGTTTTGCTTTGGATACATGCAACGCCTTATACATGCTGACGTCTTTAGGCAGGCACGATCCCCACCCTGCTTTCACCACCTTAGAGCAAGCCCAAAGGGCAGCGCCAAAGGGCCACGCTGGTCATACTCCGGCGAAGGGTGTTGAGCCTGAAAGGGCAAGTAGGATTCTTCGTCGCAGTGTGAACCAACGAGATATCAAGGCATGCATGTTTGGAAAATGTTGCAAGCGTGTGCTGACAATGCAAATTTGTCCAAGCTTTTGTTGGGAGATTGGAGATGCACATGTCGCATATTTTTCTTGTGGTGGGAAGTCCAAAACCACACTTGCCAACACGCTGGTGCTAAGGTAAACTTCAGCAATTTGCCTCTCACGTTTGCATCTCAAAGCCCTCCAAGGTTTGAACAGCGACCCCACATGGAAGGAAGGCTTTGAATCAAACCAAGCTGACTCGTGATTTGATGGCTCAGGCCTCAAGGCGCGATGATGGCTCAGGACCTCAAGCCAATGCCACCGAAGGATATGCTAGGAGCGCGACGCTGCACAACTACACAGCCATCCATGTCTTTCCATGGATGCCTTTCCATGTCTCGTCAGGACATGTTTCACCACCAGCGGTCTTGCTCCCCTTACAGGCGCATTCTTGTTTGTCGTCAAACATGCCTCACCCTCGCAACCTTATAATATTTATAGTACTGTAAACATCTGTAAACATTACGCGCAGGGAAACGCCTTTTTTCTCATAGAAAGCTCGAAAGGTTGGCACTTGCCACAGGCACGCGCTACATGCCCACATCGTCCACAGATTGCTTTGTAAGAGTCTTGGGACATCGTACCTCCTACTGTAGCTTACTGCACAAACTTGAACCGAGCGCTCTATTTCTACGCACGGCCAACGCATTCTTGGCATTCATGGAACTTCCTGTCACTGACCTTGGATGGCACATATGGCAAGAACTCACAGTATACTCCTGTGTGTCCAGTATAGTGTCTATACCCTGCAAAACGTCAAGATGCCCCGCCACGTTCATCCGAGAAAGGCATATATAAGTTCCATTGATCCCATGGGGGTTGACTGGATGCACTTGTTTCTAATAGCTTCTTGTTACTACTAGAAGGCACCTGTTACTACTAGCGTGGCACTTGTTACTACTATATTCCAGAAGTTGTGACTGGATGCAGAGGCCTTTGTCGCTGTGGTCACACAGTATGTGGCCAGACAGCGGCGACGTTCTCAGGCAGTGTTGGAGCTAGTGGGGACCTCCTGGAGTGAGATAAGGTCTACCAGTGCTACCAGTGGCTTCTTGCTACTAGTCACAAATTAGCTACTAGTAACGATGCCCTTGTTACTAATAGCGATGCACTTGTTACTAGTGGCTTCTTATTACTAGTAGTAATGCCCTTGTTACTAGTAGCTCTTCAGACAGGGCCTCATGTCTTTCATAGTGGCACACCGGGATGGATTGTCTGATTGCCACGAACTATTTGGAGGATCTGGTGTGGCTGTGCACGCCACTGCCACCTTCTACAATCTACTGTGCCTTTTGTTATGGGTCAAGGGGTCTAATAGGTCCGGCAAGCAAGGTCACGTCCGGTCCTTCGCCGCAGGCAGCACCAGCAAAGGTTGTTCTGCCTCGGCCGGCAGCCACAGATGATGTGCCCAAGCGGCAAGGGCCTGCGCTGAATGATCGCAGATTCTTCTTCCGTGTGCGGGCCTAAGAGGGGATTCAGAGGTTATCATGTCTTGGGAAGCGGGCATGACAGGTAGGCTCATTCACTTGCAGAAGCTTTTGCTTGTCACTTGCGTTTCTGGCACCATCTTCTCGCTTGGCAAGAGTCATCCTTGTCATTGCCACCCATGCATTAAACGGACTTCATTTTTTCTTCATGTTGCTGTGGCCCCTTGTCGCTCCAATCCGCATTCGATTTTGCTTGTCATTCCCCTGCTGCTCTTCTGACTGCTGATGGTCTTGTTCAAGCCCAAACTACTCTTGCTTTGTTGCCTCCATGTTTTTGTTTCCTTGCCTATGTGAACTTAACTGAGCATCCTGAATCTCAGCTATCTCAGCACTTCAGGACGGGAGGCCTAAGCTGCCCGTCATAGCTTTGCCAACGATGGCCAATCAGCGCCTTGGCATTGCCTTTGGCTTCTAGAAGGTATGGCTATCACCCTGTTTCTGAGGTTAGCCGACCAAATCCCCGAATGGCTGGAGGAACGTTGGGCAAGAGGTACCCTCGAAGAGGAGTGCTGATCGTTCATGATCCGTTCTTTACACAATTGACTTGTCCCGGACAGATGCAATTTACTTTCTTGCCTTTTTGCTTGCGAGAATCTGTATTCCGGCAATCCAGGGTATTCAAATTTGTCCAGCATTTTAATCTTTCAGCTAGCAGACTGTCGCACTGTGTGAGGAGACCTACAAATACTATGACAACAAGAAGGATGGGACTGCAAAGCAAATGTATATGAGCTAATTGCATGTGTACGCATGTTGCTGCCAGGACCGCGAGTATCATCCCGTGTATGACAATGTGAGCGACACCAGCGTAGCCAGGGGCCAAAGCCCATGTTGGGAGATTTTGATCCAGCAGGATCTAAGGGCCTTTCTCCTGGGAGCAAGGACGCTACTAGTAGCTCCTGGCATGACTACTAGGAACAAGAAACCTATATACTAGTATCAAAGGCCATCGCTACTAGGAGCAAGGACGCTACTAGCAGGAATTTATAGTTTCAACCGACCCTTGTAGCCCAGTGTGCAGGGGTGAAGAGTTGAATTCATGCCTCAGCATCCATCAGCTATTTGAGGGGCCTGGGCTGGCCAAGTGCTTCTGGTAAAGATTTGACTTGATATCTGATAGCTGCATTAGTCTTCAAATCTGCAGTGGATTTAAAGCAGGGTTTTCGGCTGGCACTGTTACCGGGCAAACTGGGTGCGTAAAGTTTTCTTTGAAACATCTCGGCAAACTATGGCACTATGGCTTTGGAACTTGATTCACTCGCGAAAGGGTTGGGGCTTTGCACAGGTTAGCGAAGTGGAAGTCGAACCACAGGAGAGGGGCAGTACAAGCTGCCCTGTGTCCCGTGCTGACCGTCGGGGTGAACACGTGACCATTGCCAAAGAAAGTCACAGAGAGAGAGAGAGAGGGAGAGAGAGAGAGAGAGAGTGCGTGTGTGAACGAAAAGGGTTCAACTATATATATATATACAATACACACATGTATACGCATATACCAGTCCCAGTGCAGGCTCAGGCTTTTGCAGGCCTAGGCTCAGCCAAGGAAGTCCGTCCACGTTGTCGATTAACTCCTTCTATTTTCTACTACCCGGAGATGACACAGGAGTATAGAAACATACATGCAGAAACGAGTCTTCCTATCTCATGTACCCAAAGCGCGTGAAAGAAGCCCAAAAGGACTATAAGGTCCTATCTCAGATTAGGAAGTTTAGGAGGAGTTTGCGCAGGTAAAGTCTCAGCCTTTGGACAATTGAGTTGGGGCCACAAAAGTTGTAAGATAACCCTGTCTCCTGTGCTCGATCCTTCTTTTACTATTTTTGAATCCTATCTCATTTGTTTTTCGTACATTTTGCAACGCCTACAATTTCCTATCTCATCTTCCCCTAGTATACATCTCCCTTTCTGAAACTTTGCTGGGAGCTGTTTGGCCTTGCCAGGATGATAAGTACGAGGCTTGCATAGGGAGCAGAATGTTGTTGGATTGTTCTACGTTTTCCTTTTCCATGAGTTTGTGGTTGTTCCTTATTTTCTGGGCTACTGGAGCAGAGAAACAAACAGTTCCAAATTCTCAGGAGCAGTGATGGAATGGCAAGCTGGGAATATTCTGCACACAAAGCCTGCAATCTTCTGTTGAAGGTTGAGATGCTGCAAGCACTGCGTGTGTATGCACGTTTTCTCGAAGACACCAAGAAGGCACTAATCATGTCATGTCCCCAGTTGATTTTGCAAACAAAGGCATTCAAAGCCAAGCGTCGACAAGATCAGTGTTTGACACTAGCATTTACCTTCAATAGCTGCCTCCTGACCCACCTATTGTATCTTGTGCAGAGCGATGCCCTTTGTTACTAGTAGCCTCTGTATCTACCTCCACGAAGTCCAGACTCATTGGCATTGGGGAAGGGAACATTGCTCGTCGCCAAGGTCAGATATCCTCTACGCAGCCACACAATTTGCCCAGCATCGCTCTCAGAACTTTGCCCTGCAATCCTTCACATTGTTTCCAACTAGCTACTGTATATACCAGGAATGGTTTATGCAATACCTTTCTGCGTAGCGTTCTAGATTCTAGATTTTAGTGGGGACACCAACGCAAAAAATTTTTATGTAGAACCTCAGATTCTTGCTTGGCTGGCTTGTTTGTGACAGAGTGGCTGTGTGTGGCCATGTGCCAGGCCCCGCACGCTGCATGAGTCGGAAGAAATGGCAAACAGGAAGAGACTTCCAATTCCGGCAAGTTCCAACACTAACTTTCCCAAAACATCTAGGAACCAAATCATTAGTGCGAGCGGCTCTGCGAGCGTGAGCTATCCCGCGTCCACACTAGTAGCTTAAGGAGCTAGGAGCTTACTGAGGGCAGGCCATAGGCTTAAAAAATGGAAAACGCGCACATAGATAGATAGATAGATCGATCGACCGACCGACCGACCGACCGACCGACCGATCGATCGATCGATCGATAGATCATCGATAGATCTATAGATCGATAGATATATAGATAGTTCCGCAAAGTCCAAAACAAACATGCATGACTGCTGACCCAAGACCTGACACTAGCTCATATGAGTGGGTGGTTAGGGGTGGTTACAACGTTCGCGCCCTTTTTGCAGATAAGTCTGCTGGTGCAACCCTCTTCGTCTATCTATGTATGCATATGCAAAAGAGAAACGCAGTCTGCGCGAGCTAACACAACCATGCATTCAACGCTCCCTGGAAGCTTTGTTGATTTTTGCGTTCACTCTTTGATGGACAAAAGCACTTCGAAGCAAGACCGGTGAAGCAGTTGTCATAGAATCACACCTTTTTCCAGCTTTCGTGTGGGTAGTTCCCTGGAGGTAGTCGTACGACTTCATGAATTTCATGAATTCATTATTTCTTTCTTTGTGATGACCCTGAGTGCTTTTAGGTTGCGACGTGAGAAGCAACGCTCAGAGGACTTTACACAGGACATGAAGGTCAACTTGGAAGAGATGGCCGTTCTCCCTGTCCTGTTTGTATTACATTGTATGCACTAGTGCGACGCCCAAACATACAGCACACAAAAGACACCTGAGTGAGCCTGAGTGTTTGTAACAGCTTCAACTTCGTGCAACATGAACCGCCACACACACACATATACATATAATTACATATATTATTTATTATATATGTATTTATACATAGAACAGAATTTTATAGATAGACTTAACAGCTTTGCCTGGGAGTTCTGCATTTCCCTGTTCCATCAGCAAAGCATGCCAGTTTTGCTGCCCCAACCGAATCAGACGGGAGCTCAGATGAGCTGCCAACCGCCACAGCTGTTTGTGGATTTTCACTCCGGATCACATTTGGAAAGATGCATTGCTTCTCTTCTATTATGTTCAGCAGAGTCTCACTTGGATGAAGGAAGGGTTCACTCGAGATACCGTTGCATGTTGACACATTAAAGGACCAGAACATTTGAAGCCGGTCTACAAGCAGCTGGGAGGCAGAGCGCACAACTTGGCAGAACCATACAGAACTCATTGTACAGAATGGGCCCAGTGTTTGCAGGGTTTTCTTCATATCGAGGCTTTCGGGTATGATGGTCTTGGCTGAGCTAGTAGAGTGAGTAGAGCCGAAACAATGTCTAATTTGGTTCGTCATGAAAGTAGACTTTCAGTATCGCCCTCTATTCTCAGTCTTGCGTAGGATCGTGGGGATGTGAGCGGGTAAATTCAGGGTTGTGGATGACCAAGGCGACATGAATAGCCGTCTTTGCAAAGCCCGATGGGTCATATTTCTTTGCTTTGCCAGGAGATGTCGAGGCTTGTGAGGTTGCATGTAGGCGGCCCCAGCATGGCATCGACGCCAAGCAACAAACAACATTAATTTACTGATCTAGATTCTAGATGCTGTACTTCGACCATTCATTTGCGGCGAGCCATCAGTTGGCTCCAGAGCTGAAGAGAGACAACAACGTTGGGACGGAGTGCTTAGGTAGTGACCGACTACAGACGCCGAACGACGAACGAGTTTGTAGACGATTTTCCTGAGGTGTCGACTTCCGTATCTTCGTGCTCGTGCTCATTGGCTTAGCCAAGTTCGACAAGGGCCCGAAGGTTCGGTTCAATGTCGTAGAGGTCAAGTCGAAGGCTTTAGATATTTTAAATTCTTTATATAATAGCAATGACCTCCAACCAGATAACGATGGCCTCCAACTTCACAGGTTTGAGGTCCTGAACGTCTGGCTGATTTTGACAAGGGTTGTGTGTCGGGATGTCGCGAAGACACATACAGCAGCGTCGCAGATTCCGAAGATGTTTGGCGAGCATGATACCCAAAAGCAGGTGCGGTGGCCAAAGGTTTTGATGTTTTAGGGTCCTTAGGCCGTTGGGCTTTGATCATGTAGCGTCATTGTATGTGTGTAATGAAACTGTCTCCCTAGTTGTGTCCCCCAAAAGCATACAAGTGTGCATATGCGTGCACAATCACTTGAATGTGGGATCATCTGAGACAATGCGTGGG